TTTCACCAAGTGGTTGCACCAATTTATACTTCTACCTGCAGAACAGAAGAGTTCTTGGGACTCCACATCCTTGCCAAAGTTTGGTATTGTCAACCGTTTAATTTTTTGCCAAACTTCTGAGGGTAGAACATACTGAGAGTATTGTAATATGGCTTTTTTTTTTTAAGAGACAGAGTTTCACTTTATTGCCCTCGGTAGAGTGCTGTGGCGTCACACAGCTCACAGCAACCTCCAACTCCTGGGCCTCAGCCTCCCAAGTAGCTGGGACTACAGGCACCTGCCACAACACCTGGCTATTTTTTTGTTGTTGCAGTTTGGCTGGGGCCAGGTTCAAACCCACCACCCTGTAATATGGTTTTAATTACCATTCCCTGATTAATACTGAGGTCACCTTATGTGGTTTATTGCACATCCACATATCTTTTGCCCGTTCAAAGCACTTTAAAAATATATCCTTCTCCCAGATGGTAAATTTTACATTATGGGTTATTTACCACAATGAAAAGAAAACGAAAAAAAATCCTTTTCCAGTTATATGTGTTTCAATAGCTACTTCTAATCTACAGCTTTTCTTTTTTGCTATTTTTTACATGTTTCTTTGATGAACAGATTTTAATATCAACTTAATATTTCAATTTTAAAATTTTAATATAGTTGAATTTATTGGTCTTTTGCTTTATGTTAAGTGACTTCTGTATTGTATGCAGATGATCTCTGATTTGCCAATATTTGACTGAAAGATTTTTCAACTTTATGATGTTATGAAAGTGATATGCATTCAGTAGAAACCATACTTCAAGTACCCACACAATCATTCTGTTTTTCACTTTTAGTAAAGTATTCAATAAAGTACATGAGATATTCAATACTAATTATAAAACAGGCTTTGTGTTAGATGATTTTTCCAAACTGTAGGCTAATGTAAGTGTTCTGAGCACATTTAGGGCAGGCTAAGGCCTGATATGTCCAGTAAATGAGGTATATGAAATGCACTTTCTACTACAAAATTTCAACTTATGATGAGCTTATGAGGACAAAACTCCACCACAAGTCAAAGAGCATTCACATAGAAAACATAAGATACTGGTAATAAATATAAAAAAGACCATCACAAGAAATTCATTTGCATCATCTTCCAAAATTTTAAAGCTTTACTTCTCACATTTGTGTGCAGTGTGAGACAAAGATGCAATTTTATTCTTTTTTAATATGGATAATCAGTCACTAAAGCGCCATTTTTAAAAACTGTTAGGTGGCTCATGCCTGTAATCCTATACTTTGGGAGGCCAATGTAGGAGGATTGCTTGAGCCGCAAGAGAGTTTGAGGTTGTAGTGAGTTATGATGATGCCACTGCACTCTAGCCTGGGCAACAGAATGAGACCTTGTCTCAAAAAAAAAAAAAAAAATGTGTTTGTTCTTTGCTCACAGACCTACAGAATCACCGAGTCTATATTCAAGAGTCATTAACGTGCTGAGTCTGCTCTGGGCTCTGGTCCTCTTTCATTGTTCCATTCGTCCATCCCTGTCCTGTGTCTACTGCCTTAATTCCTGCAGCTTTATCTGAACCCTGAGTGGGCAAGTCTACCAACTTGCTGCTGGTCTTCAAAACTGCCCTGGCTATTCTTGGGCCATTGTTCTTCCACATAAAAATTGTACAGATTATTAGGCTCAAGCGAAAAAGCAGAATTATGTTAGCATTATATTATAGTAAATGTTTAATTAGGGAAAAATGAACTTTTTTGATATAAAACCTCCTTTCATAAATAATGGTTCAGTTCTTTACTTATTTATGATTTTGAAAATATCTTTCAGTGAAGTTTTGTTATTTTCTACATGAAGGTAATATACTTCAAAAAGATTTTGTAGTAGGTACTTTGTACATTTTGTTGCCATAATGGTATCTTTAAAATTCTTTTCCAGTCTGTTATTATAAATAGTGATGAAATTAATATTTATATATTCATTACTTACCCCCAAAATGGGAATATTTCTTATTAATTTTAACAACTTGTCTATAGATGACTTTGATTTTATCAGTAGACAATCAATCATTGGCAAATAATGACAGTTTTGCTTTTTCCCTTCCAATGCTTACATCTTTTGTTTCCCTGTCTTACTATCTTGATGATCGTTTCATTGAAGAAATACAATGAGCATCCTGGCCTTATTCTTTATTTTTATGGGAACGTTTGTTAAAGGCTTAATTTAATAAATGAAATTGACAAATGAAGAAATACAGAAGATTCTAAGTGGGAAGAGTAGAATATTTGTGTAAATCTCAATAAAGTCTCAGACATTAAAAAAAGGATAAATCTCAAAATAATGTCTTCCCTAAACATAGCTATGGTTCTTCTAAACACCTCCTAAAACAACTTATAGCTACTAAAGATGAATTGGGGAAATAATTCTAGAGGAGAGGTAAATCTCTGTGTTTTCTCAAAAGGAACTAGGACAAGAATAGTGGACTTAACATCATCCATCCTTTTAAATTAAAAATGATGTCTGCGGTGGTGCCTGTGGCTCAGTTAATAGGGTGTTGGCCCCACATACCAAGGGTGGCAGGTTCAAACCCAGCCCTGGCCAAACTGTAACAACAAAAAAAATAGCTGGGCATTGTGGCAGATGCCTATAATCCCAGATACTTGGGAGGCTGAGGCAAGAGAATCGCCTAAGCCCAAGAGCTGGAGGTTGCTGTGAGCTATAACACCATAGCACTCTACTGAGGGCAACAAAGTGAAACTCTGTCTCTTAAACAAATAAATAAATAAATAAATAAATGACATCTGGATGTTGATTCAGAATTTGGTTGCCATTATTACTTAACCTTTATATATTAAATGAATACGTAGAAAAATGCAAACAGTAACAAAGTCTGAGTTCTCATCTTAAAAAAAGGCATAGCTTTAAATATATCATTACTATATTTGTGATAAAGAAAGGCAAAGAACAAGCAGCTCAGTCAAGCTGAAGTTCTGCAGCTTTGAAGAGTATCCACTTCCTCTTCATTTTGGTCTTCCTGTGACTTTACTACTTACTGGGCATGTTTTAACTACGTGGAGTTAAACTCACATCCACATGAATTATGGAGTAAGCAAAGAATATATGATAAGCACAAAAACATACATGTCCCAAAGCAGATGAATGGGGCCATCCATGTTTTATATGCTGGAAAAAGCTACTAAAATCTAGGCAATTGTTATAATTGTTATTATTTATTCCTTGAATGAATAGTTATTCTTATCACCACAATTTTTTACTAATACAGAGCTTAATAGTAAATAGTATTACATATTAGAACAAATATGTAAAATCAAAACTAGGTAGTTAGCACGACTAACATTACATATCTGGAACAGATGATTAAGCTTCTAAGATAATCAATAAAATGAGAAAAAGCATTATGAAGATAAAATACCCTGTTACTTTACTTGCCTGGTAAATATGAACTAACCCAATGCACATTTCACTGTTAGGACCTGAACATTTAGCAGACAATTACTGTTTTTGATTAACTTCATCTCTTAGCACAACATACTCTGCTATCTAATTCCTGTAACAAATAAAACCACTTGACATTATGCTGTCTTTTATAGTTTACAGAGCACTTTAAAATTATCTTTCTTTCTCCTAGATGAGGCTAGAAGGACATAAATCTGGACCTGCTTGTAGCCTTCATACTACCCAGACAGGGGAGCCGCCCTAAGAAAATTACTGCTGAGAAATGAAAAGGAAGAGGAACATTTCTAACAATATTATGGGAGACTTAGATACAACTTACCTGAATATCCCTGGCACTTTTCAGTTAATATACTCAATAAATTCCCTTTCCTGCTTAAACCCTTATGAGTTGGGTTTCTACCACATGCAACTGAGAGAGGCCTGGGTAACAGACAAGAGTCAGACCCAGTGCTAAATGCACCAGCCAAGACTTTTCTCTCACTAACTCTAGCTTCCTTACAGAAACCCGGAGTAACGAAAAAAGCTTGAGAATGATTTTGAGTACCAACACAATCACTTAACTACCTAAATGTTCTCAGATAATACATATGTTATACACCTCAATATAAGCCCCAAATATGAGACTATTATCTCGTTTATAAGGTTTTTTGAGGTTCAGCGCCTGTAGCTCAAGCAGCAAGGGCACCAGCCACATACACACGAGTTGACAGGTTCGAATCCAGCCTGGGCCTGCCAAACAACAATGACAACTATAACCAAAAAATAGCAGGCATTGTGGCGGGCCCCTGTAGTCCCAGCTACTTGGGAGGCTAAGGCAAGAGGATCGCTTAAGCCCAAGAGTTTGATGTTGCTATGAGCTGTGACACCACAGCACTCTACCCAAGGCAACAGCTTGAGACTCTGCCTCCCAAAATAAATAAATAAATAAATAAATGGTTTTCTGAGAGCTAAATTACAGCTCTTTTCCCAAAGCAATTAGAGCCTGGCATCTAGAACTCAATAAATGGTAATAATACTCCTGCTTTCTCCCCTGATGTGGTACTAAAAAGATATATAAAACATCTATTATAATCCCTGGTACAATAAAAGACACTCAATAAATATTATTTCTCTTTGCAATGAAAATGATTCAGGATTGGTAATCATATTTATTTTATATCACTATTTTTCTCATTATAGAAAAATAAAAAGAGGGTATAGACCAGTGGTTCTGTCACAACCCACAGAAACTATATTAAAGGACCACGACATTATAGAAAGGCTGAGAACCACTGGTATAGACAAACTCCAACCGCCTTTGTAATCCTCCCTTTCCTAGGAATGTAGAAAACCATCGTGAAAGGAAGGAAAATAAGGACATGTAAATACATGGTTGGAGACCATTAAGTGAACCAGGAAATTTCTAGCATCTGCCCCACAGGAGGCTTCCACATAAATGTGGGATTTCCAGTCATCTAAGGGGAGAGATGATCACAACCTACAGAAATACTTGCAGAGCCATATTCAATTGCACACAACAGAATCAAAATCTTGGACTCACAGTATTTGGAACATAAGGTAAGCCGTAGAATTTCTCTTGTGTTTCCTTGAGAATGTTTGTGGTTGACGTCCTCAGGGGATGCTTACCATGGTAGATTTGATCCAGAGTGGCATAAAAGACCTAGACAGAGGAAAACACCTATTTAGTTTTGGAGTCCATTCTCCCATCTCAGATGTAGTAGACCAAGGACAAAGGTACCACAAAAAAGGTTATATACATCACAGTTGAAAATGTTCACAAAAATAAACTTATATACTTTCAGATGTATTTCATACCACATCTGAGATTATGTTCAAGCTCTCAACTTTTTCATGATTGAAGATATTACACAAATTTGAACCGTATCTATAAGGTAATCTTTATGTACAATGTAGCAAATTAAATTTGTGACCACAAAACTGGAATGTTGCCAGAATATATATAGTTAGAAATATGGAAAAAAAATAAAAGAGTTACATCTTGTGACCCCCTGAATCTAACAGATCTATTTGGTTTCTTATTGGAATCTTGATATATCTTAAATGAAAGAAACGAAATGGTCAGAATCCTAGTTACGTGATACAAGTCAAGAGAAAATTTAAATAGATGAGCTGAGGATAGAGAAAAGAATAGCAACCTAGCTTCTGGCAAGCACAGATGTTAAAAAAAATTCTGATGCAGCTGCTGGAGAATTTGAAGCTAGACCCCAATACTTGGCATCAGGAAGCACAAAGGAAACAGATGGGGAATTGGGGGCAATTGTGGCTCAACTAGGTGAGCAGGGAAGAAGAATCATATACCTCTGAATACAGGATACAGACCATTGAAACATAGTAGGAGAAGAAAGCATTAAATTAAGTCTGAGTATGGAGTCTGCTATTTACAAAGTACTGAAAACTAAATTTTGCATAGAAAATCTAAAGATAAAGCGCTTTTTCACCGCAACATTGTTTTGACTCAAATATTGTTTTGAATATTTACTAAACATCTGATTTAACATTGTGTAGCATTCACCTGATATAAGAAAATAGAAAATGTTTCCTTTTAAAGAAAAAATGTTGCCATGCAAATGCTTCTGATATGGATCTAATTCAGAAATGGAATTTTCAGAGAATGTGCAGCTGTTGGCTTGAAAGAAATGAGGATTAGTTTGGATAAAAGAAAAAATTTTAATGACCTCTAGCTTCTGGTTTCACCTACATATAGAATTATGGTTCTAAATTATAAAGTTAAGTTTAAACCTTCCCTAGAAAAATACACACATTCCCTAAATATATGCTTTCCTCTAACTGGTAATCTAAACATACAGCTAAATGTAGCTCTTTCAATTCTATATTCTATAATGAGTAACAATGCATAAAGATAATCAGAGAAGCCAAAATTACTCATTCATGTCTTATCTATATTCTAACAGAGGAAATTATTGGGAATTGAAACTCTTAAATTCTAACCTCAATTGAGGTGAAGTTTTTTTTTTTTTCAATCCCAGCATATAAACAAATCAGAATGCAAGAGTTTCATTTCTTCAATTATACCTTCTACATATCATATAAACATAGAATGACTTTTTCTGAATTATAAAAACAGAGCAAAATAAATCATATGTGTATTTATTTCATGCTGTTCACTGATAAACTAATTCTAAAGCTATAAGCCTATTTTCCTACCCAGGGAGTCATGCATTCCTAGGACCAAGAACTTTAGAGCCCCCACCCCCCAAATAAGGAGCCTATTTTTGAAACAATAATAATTCACAATTTTTAAAGCACTGTTTATACTCCCTAAGAAAGTTGAAACGATTTACTTCCTTTCTAACCTATCTGTCTCCACTATACAAATATAGTGAAAGGTGGGCACAGGGAGCTCTTCTGGCAGGAATTTCTTTCTCTGTCTCTTTCTCAAGGGGTTATTCTTTGTGGAGGGTGAGAAGGAAATGGCAAGCTTTCCATTTTAAAAGAAAATCATGGAAACAACTATTCTAGAAGAAAGCCATAACCCAGACTTTTAAAAGGCAGGTGTCTATCTACTAAAGATACCAAGAAATCAAAAGCTCTTTGGCTCGGCACCCATAGCAAGCCACATGCACCGAGGCTGACATAGTGAGACTCTTTCTCAAAAAAAAAAAAGGATCTTTGCCAAGTAATGCTAATTTAAAAAAATTCAGAAATCCTTTTTAAATTATGTTGATATGAACAGATACTAAATAATGTAAATTAATGGTTTTATCTATATAATGGATTTTTTTCACTGAAATATAAATTTTAAGGTACAACAAAAACAGGGCTCATTCATTACTTTTTAAGGACTGACTTTCACAAAACTACAAAACAATTAAATAGTGGTTACACTCTTAAATAGGTAACTTAATTTTGCTTAAGATGAAAGATGGGTGCTTAGGCTATGTTTATATAACTCTCAAGATCTAATGAAGAATAAGAATTCCATAAACAATCTCAATAATTACAAATATCTAAACATCTAGTATCATGCAGACCTGGCATCCAGATGGTTTGCAAAATGTTTCTAGTCTTCATCTGGAGACCTGGGAAAATGGTTTTGAATATTATCTAACACTAATGGCAATTACTATTTTAACTTCCCATCTAAAAACATACTTTTTTTAAAGATAAAAAAATGAATAAATATGTATTGAGTTGGGTTTGTGCCCTAACTGGGCTGTTGAAATGTGTGATTTAGAAGTCATGTAACTTTTCTAAGCTTTGATTTTCCCAACTGACACTGGGAAATAATCTTATTTAACATCTACTTCATCATAAGGGCAGTGTGAAGGCTGAATGAGTCAATTTTGGTCAAGTTCCTTGAACTCAGATGAAAGATGTTTTAACAGCATAATTATGATAATAAACAGGTATCATGGGCAAGAATTTCAAGTTATATATTTATTTGGAAAACTTCAGAAGAAAAGTCCCAACATACCTGAAGTTGCATATCAGCTGCAGCACAGACCTTTTTAGATTCACAAAGACGAGACACCATGTTTTTTGGCAGTGGCTTGATGAAACAAAAGAACAGATATGTGAGTGTGCTCCTCACGGAGCCATTGCACACTTATATAATATCAAAGGGAAAAACGAACAATAGAATTTCAGGTAGTTTTAAAATAACTTTTAAGTATTTTAGTTGACAAGAACACAAATGAAGACATTTTAGTTAATTTCGAAAAGTGTTAATTGTCAAATAAGGGTTCGTATAGGAAATTACAGGATTATATGGTACCAAGATACTGGCAGTGATCTTCAAAAATCTGTTTACAACCTTAAAGGGAACACTTTTTCTGTTCCTTTGTTACCAAGGAGTACCAAGTACTCTCTCGATTTTTAAGTGCATATAACGGATTATAGGTGTAAAGATTAAAATGTCAAAAAACATTATAATTCATGGTTCCAGACAGTATTGAAAATGAACTGACATCCTAAAAAATAGGCATGATAATGAATTGCAGATTCTTTTTTTTTTTTTTTTTGGCTAGGGCTGGGTTTGAACCCGCCACCTCTGGCATATGGGGCCAGTGCCCTAGTCCTTTGAGCCACAGGCACCGTCCGGAATTGCAGATTCTTTTGTTTTCCAACCTGAAAGAACTGCAGAGCTTGGACACTTAGTTTAATGTGCCTATATGATTTAAGGCTTTCTCTGTGGGACTAATTGGGCCTAACCCTATAACATAAAGAACATCTTAAAACTAAACTAATAATGTAGTTAAAAGTACTTTGTTCAATCTTACTCTACTTTAAAATCATTAAGACTGATGTTAATGGAAGAAAGATACCACTCTATACAACTCTATTTATAATCTAAGCTGAAAGCCTCTCTGAAGAGAGATACATTATCTATAAAGACCAATGGGAGGTTACTCAGTGGTACAGTTAGATAAATCAACCAGCTGTGAATCAGAATGTGGGCTGCCTGCTGGAAGGGGACTAAACCACTACCACGTATACCCCCAGCACCTACAGTAGCGCCTGGCCTGGCACCAGGCAGACGCTCCGTAAGGATTTGCTGAAGGAATTGTGCACACATGGTAACTTAGGAAACAGCCTCGTAAGTGAAAGGCTCCAGTGATATCTGATGACTTCTCAGATGACAAATCTGCACCTTTTTTCTCTACTTGGCTATTTAAAAAAAAAAAAAGCAACCAGGTAGAAAAGGTCATTTTAAAGAGTTAAGACACAGACTGGAAGAAGTATAAATTCTAGTACAGGACAAGGACCTGTGGTTTTCTGACACCAGGGTCACCCATCTAGTGTGAAAGAAAAATTTCTTCCAACAGAATTTGAAAAAGTCAAGATTTTGTTAAGTCCATCTGCCAAGGCAATAGCATGTGTCAAAATGTTCAGGTTTCTTTAAGCCTTACTTTATATTTTATCTTATGTTGACAGGATTCATAATACAGTTAGATTTTTCATGTTCCACTGAGTTCTAGTAGTTTTACTTTCACAAAAAAAGTATACATGAAGGAAGACATTTGCTTGTTTAACTAACAAACATATAACTACTGTGAATGAGCACCACGTTAGGCAGAGGGACACCAATGGTGGAGGGCAAGATGCTGCCCCCGACCTCAGGGCTTCCCAGCAGGCATTCTCCACAAGGGTGCCAATTCCAGAGTTGCTAACAGCATACAGGATGGCACAAAAGCCTTGACCTTGAAAGGCTTGACTGAGTTAATAAAGTAGAAGTGAGATTTGCAAAATAAATAGGCATTATCTAGATAAGAGAGCTGGGTGGGAGGGGACAAAAGGCATTTTGAGCAGGGGAAACTGTATGGGCAAAGGGTAGAAAGAGCAAGGCTGCCAGAGTTGAGGGCAAGAAAGGACAGCATCTCTCTGCCAAGCTGGGGCCCAGCTCTACCCCCAGGCCACCTCTGTGGTAAGCCACAGAGGGCCTTTAAATAAGGACAGGTTTGTGTTTTATAAAGATTCCTCTGGTTGCAGTGAAGAGACCTGAGAGGAGGAAGGTAGGAGTGGATTAGGAAGGCTCAGTAGGGAGGTTCCTAAGCTAGAGCACGAGTGCTGGGGACAGGAGGCAGTGGCAAGAGTGGGAATGAGGGGTGAAATTTTTTATTTAATGTTAGGAAATGCTTAGGCAGGTTTAGGATGGGAAAGACCCACAGAAGGGACAAAACCTAAAGATACAGAAAAGAGAGGAGAGGATGGCCTCCAGGTGGGCTCCTGAAAAGGCAGGAAGAAAAGTACAGGCGACCGCAAAGGACTAGCTCAGTCAGAAGAACAGGTCAAAGAGCTGCAGGAGGCTCCCTGGAGATGCTCTGAGGTCGGAGGGAGGAGCTGGATCCAAAGGGCTCAGGAGAGGGGACACAGTGTGCAGACTGTTGGTGGACATCCATCTTAGAACTGTAGGAATATAGAAGATGGACTTAGGACAGGGCCTCCCTGTCAGGCATAAAGAAATGGGGACCACAGGCGAACAGAACACAAGAGGGACAAAAAGAAAGGCCAGTGGAAAGGTGCCCACTGGGGCAGGGAAGTGCCAAAGGGTAGGGAGAAGCAAACAGCCCACTGGGCCTCCAAAGGTTCACCATGTCTGCCAGTTAACAGAAATGCTAAGTATTCCATCTAAGAGCCAACCAGAGACCCCTTTCCCTTTTGAAATAGCTTATTTAGAGGCCAGTATCTTAAAGATTCAAACTTACATAAGAACAGTGAATATTATAGGACAAATTTAACAAGGCTTAATTTTTTCTTTGTCAGGTTTGTATAGGTGAAAGGCCTAAATGCCTCTGGCCAAAAAAGCTGTTTGAGAGAGAGCAGTGAAAAGACTTTGTGCAGGCATACTTGTAAGAAACTGAGGCAGAATCCCGTGTGGCCAGGTTGGTTGTGAGCCTAACATGACCAAGGCTTTGGGTGGAATAGCATTTACTGTGTGAAGGAATTAAGGTTGACTTTATAAGGCCAATAAAAAAGCCCTTTGGAAAACTGGCCAGATACCCATCAGTAACCTTTCCTGATCTGTGACGAAGGTAGCTTGCTGATGGGTCTGGGAATAGAAATGTGCTCGAGGACCTCAAGAGAAGAGGAATTTACACAATGCATATAGGTATCTAATGGCACAGATAAAACTTGGGCTTGCAAAAGGCCTTTGAGAAGTCCAGCCTGAAAATTCCTTATAAAAGGTTCCAGCAAAACCCCCTGACTTAAGGCCTAGATGGGAGTGGAGGTTTGCACACAAATTCCTGTATGCCCAAGAAGTTTATTTATGCCTTGTTTAAAGATCTGAAGTAACAGCCTCCAAATGACAAGGCCAGCAAGGGCAGGTATTCAATCTACCTTGTTCTTCCATAGCCTCAGGCATCATCAGATAAGAACAAAAGAAGTAATGGCTAACAGCATGTTCTCCATTAAGTTATGTTAAATTGGGTTATGTTGAAAGGGTTATGTCAAAAGGTGTATGTTGAGTGGATTATCGGAAGCTAATCATGAGGTAGTCACATAATGTTTAAATGGATCAATGAGGTCACTGCTGTATAGTGCGCATGTACAAAATTCCCTATATAAACCAACCACAAATAAAGAAGCTCACCATTTTGCCTAAGCGAGCAGATGGTCACCTTTGTTTAAAACACAATTTCAGTAAGCGTGTTATTCTCTGTGACATCGCTTTTCTGTGAGACCCATACGGCAACAGGTTTGCAATAAAATGAAAGATGTAAAGAAAGGCAACATGCAAGGACAAGGACAACTAAAAATAGTTTATCAGAAAATAGGTACTCAGGAGCCTTTGGGACAGCACATGCCTCTGATCCCAGCTACTCACTTGAGCCTAGGTAAGAGTTCAAGTCCAACCTAGGGAACACAGTGAGACCCTGCCTCTAAAAGCAAACAAAAAACCTTTTGTATTCAAAAAAATCAAATGTCACCACTGGTGAAAACTAAGTGAAGGGGACATAGGTCCTCTCTGTATTAATTTTTACAACTCTCTGTGAATCTATAATTATTTCAAAATAAAAAGTACAACCCTCCCCCAAAATTATGTATTCAAGTTCTATTATACATATTACAAAGAACACCAAGAACATTTGCCAAAAATATAAAGAAACATATAAGGAGAAGATAAGAACAATCCAAGTAGAACAGTTCAGAGGACAGAATCATTAACACATCCAATCACAAATTAAATAATACATTTATCTTATATGTGGTATCTACAGTAAAAACAGATGTAAAATCTAGTTTGCTTGTTAGTCAACCGGAATTAATAAATGTATTTTAGTTCTTGAAATGGAGTTATACTTATTCTCTTATAAAATACTTCCTTTTTTAAAAAAAATAAAAGAACAACAGCAAATAAGAAATCCACTTAAACACCACATAAATTTGTTTTCTTTTAAGGCTTTTAAAACAATAAACAATATTTAGAAGTTCAATCTTAAACTTCAAATTAAAAAACGTTTCCTGGGTAAGATTTTTTCTGTAAATATCACTTTACCAATCACCCATAAATAATCAATACTGAAATATGGTCATCCCCTCTTATACATGAGGGGCTGGTTTGGGGACCCTTCAGCAGGTTTTGGGACTCTAGAGGACACCAAAATCTGTGGCTGCTCAAGTTCCCAATTCAAAATAGTGTAGCATTTTCATAAATTCTATGCACATCCTCCTGTATACTTTAAATCCTCTCTAGATTGCTTTTACCATACCAATTTAAATGCTATGTAAATTGTTGGTATTTTGTATTTTTTAGGGCATATGACAAGAAACAAAAGTCTGTATATGTTCAGTACAGACACAATCATCTCTTTTTCCCCAAGTATTTCTGACCTGCTGTTGGTTGAATCCATGGATAAGGAACCCACAGATATAAACAGCCAAATGTAATTCAATTTTGCTGTTAATTCCCAAAGTGGTTATAGCTACAGAGTAACACAGATGTTCAATATTATAGTCCCTTAAAAAAAAAGACTCTCACATCTGATACACTGAAGAAATAGCACATCAATCCATCTAAGATGACAGGTAATGTGCAATTATATATAA